CAAAAAGTTTGAACTTAATTTTATATTTGTGTAGGTAGGTAAAACTAACTAGCGGACCAGTGTTGCCAACCCCAGCATAGAGTAAAACTGTAGATTTGCTTGAAAAAATCTGTAGAAAACTGTAAATATAAAATTAAAAAACAGTAAATCTACAGTTTTATCTTATATTATATTTTGTATAATTGTATGAATGGAATACAATTTATATGGAGGGTATTAAAAATAAGAAAACTCGTATAATTATCAAAATTTTAATCAAATTAAATGGCGTAACATTTCAAGTATTACTAGCTACTATGTTATTTTCAATTTCTAAGTCTTCCTGATTTTCCGTTTCATTTTTATTTTTATTGAATTCGTACATATTTTTATTGAATTTTTTAAAATGGTCGTTGTCACATTAAACTCGAAACAATTATTAATTTCTGACTTTGTGTGCAAGGTACCTTTTATTGTGGTCGTAGAAAGTTTATTTCTTAGTTTGGTTTTCATAACATTAATGCTCGAAAACAAACGTTCTACCGTAGCGGTACTGTGAGGCAAACATAGAAGCTTTCTGGTTAAAGTCGATAATAGTGGAAACATTGCAGAACCGTCGCCTTTTTTTAATTTGGAAACATTCCACCAAAATTCCTCTACATTAGGCGTATCAGTCTTATCAAAATTTAAATTGGTATTACGCAGATTTCTCCATTCTCTATGTAATTCTGTTATATTTTCTGGACAAATACCTGGGAAATAATACAACATCTCAGAAATTGAAGTTGTACGTTTTTGGGTCAAATCATGACCTAAAATCGCTTGTGGGTTCAACATCTGTAAACACTTCAGTGACAGACGTTCTTTATCATCGAAAGGAAACCTTTGTTTGATTTGGTTTACCTGAAGCTGACTTAGTGTACAGACAAATAAAATAGATGACGCTAGCATCTTGCATAAAAACTGTAGAAAACTGTAGATTTCGAGGCTTAAACTAAAAACTGAGAGAATCTCCCTAAAAACTGTAGATCTACAGTTAAAACTGTAGGGTTTTTTTTTATTGTTTTTAAGGGGGGAAAATCATCGAATGACTGCTCCCGCCTGGGTGAGGCGGAAGGGAGTGTCAGACTCTTACTGACTAAAAACCACCCCGTTCCTTCTCCTGCACGTCGAGCCGGAGCCCCGGTAACCCGTTAGGTTCTCCACAAAACTGTAGGGTTGGCATCACTGTAGCGGACCCGACAGACGTTGTGACATATCCACTTGAATGTATAAACAAAAATTCATTCAATTAGTTCAGCTTTTAGATATAACCTAAACATCGACTGCAGCGCCATCTGCCGGGCTGATTTGTGAATCTAAACCATTCCGAGATCCCCCTGAACACACACAAAAAATTCCATCAAAATCGGTCCAGTCATGTCACTGAACTTCACAGAAGAATTATACACTTCTGGACACATCTATTGGCCCACCATGTATTTTCAGTTTCTTTGGTCCTAGCTAAAATTTTATATTAGGTCGAGCAAAAAGTTTTTATGCAGTTTTGAACATGGCACATTCAAAATTTCATTCAATAGTCTTTTTTTTTGAATTTCGAACATAGAATTTAAAGAAACAAAAGACAATTTGGAGCCTGTTTGTTGATATCAAACAATCGAATACTAAGAAAAATTGGTTTTATTGGTTTACTTGGATTTAATTCTTGAAAAGGTGATTGATATCTTTGGTTTTGCAACAAACGTTACTTATTCTTAACATTAAGGTGAGGTTCTATCAATAATCTATGGATACTTCACCTGAAGTCGCCGCCCAAGCTGTGGCACTTATTAAGGCCGGAGACAGCCAAAGAAACGTGAGTTCTCAACTTAATTTAAGTCGATCTGCGGTCCAAAATGTTTATCGGAGGTACCTAGAGACTGGCGGCTTTGTTCGTCGAAAAGAGAGGATCGATTCATCGTGACGACCAGCTTGAGAAATCGTCACCTTACCTCCATTGAGATACAAAACCAACTTCGCGACTTCCACGGAGTATCTGTGAGCGCTCGAACTGTTCGAAGAAGGTTAAAAGAACGCGATGTGGTACCACACAAGCCAGCTAATGAGCTGAAACTAACGCGAGCCCACCGAACAGCGCGCCTTCATTTCGCACGCAGTCATTTAAATTGGACACAGCAAGATTGGAGCCGTGTACTCTTTTCTGATGAGTCTAAAATTGTGTTACATGGCAATGATGGAAGGAAGAAGGTCTATCGACGTAAGGGAGAGCGTTTCGCACAATGCTGCTTTGAAGAGAGGGTTGCTTATGGCAGTGGCTTATGGACTGTCTGGGGCGGTATATCCGCGAGCGGCAAAACTCAACTTGAGGTTGTTACAGGACCACGGCTGTTAACATTAAATGCTAAAAGGTCTTTTCGTGAGTGCTTAGAACCTCACGTGATACCATACGCGGACTACGCGGCCTATGTGGGCCCAAATTTCCTTTTTACGCTTTATAATGCAAGAGGTCATGTAGCCGGCATCGTCAGGGAATATCTTCGGGATGTGAACATCACAGTTATGGACTGGTCAGCCAGAAGCCCAGACATGAACCCCATTGAGCACATGTGGGACGAGCTAAAAAGACGTGTTAGGGCTCGTCAGCCAGTTGCCCAGACGATGCAGGAGTTGAAAACTGCCATAGAAGAGGAATGGGAGATGATTCCTCAAAATTTCAAAGAGCGGTTGATAAACTCTATGCCTAATCGTATGAGAGCTGTGGTAGATGCTCATGGAGGCAACACAAGTTATTAAATTAAACCTTTATTTGATAAAACATGTGTTTTATTAAAAAATCAATTGATTTTTACAAAAAGCCGCATATCCGATTTGTTAGGCGTAGCTCCATATCGTATGGTATTCTGAACTCAAATTTAAAAAAAATACGATCGAAAAAGATGGTAAAATGCATCAGGTTTAAAACTGCATCAACAGTTGTTGTTCAATCTAGCAATCATATTTCGGTAGGGGCCATCGAAACCTAAACTGTAAGGTGGGCCAATAGATGTGTCCAGAAGTGTATATATAAAGATTATTAGGTACTCGTAGGTCTTTTGACAGCCGCTGTTTCCTCTATACTTGTAAAACTCTCGCCGACTCGATAACGATAATCTAAATAAAACTTAGTAAAGTAAGCACTAATTAATTACACCAATGTTTAACAACTTTTGTATTGTAATTTATTTCAACATTTACATACAAATATATAAAGGATGCTATCGACTTGTGTATAAAATAATAACAATAAACCGACTAAAACTATAAACCTTATCAGTACAGTAATTATACGGCACAGATATTTTGTTATCAATAAATCAAATAAATGTCAACAAAAAATCTATTGACTGGACCGTAGAGTAGACATAGACATGGTTGGAAATCACTGATATGATAAGACTTGGAAATGGTTAAATCTAAAGCGTAGCGTAAACCGTAAACATAGATCAAAGTAAACTCATAGAGAAGTTTTGGACCAAAATTTACTTATATTCTCCGCGCTTCACATCTATGGAAACATTCACACATTTTAGAAAACGTAGACAAAATTATCAGACACACATTGTCATCCATACTTAATGTAGCTTTGGATGACCGAGCTTGGCAACAAGCTACTCTTCCTATTCGCATGGGAGGGCTCGGCGTCCGCAAAATTTCAAGTATTAGTTTACCAGCTTTTCTGTCTTCGGTCCACAGTACCTCTGAATTAGTCAGGAAAATTCTTTCTTCGTCACTGACCAGTTTTGAGGTGCCGTGTTTGACTGATGCAGTGGAAGCGTGGAAAATGGCTTGCCCACTTACGGATTTACCTGTTTACTCATCTTCTCAGAGACAGTGGGACGTGCCGCTGTGCAGTGTTATTCGTGAGTCTTTAATCAACTCGTCTCCTAATACTGCAGAGCGAGCTCGCTTATTGGCTGTGGGAGAATGGGAATCAGGATTGTGGCTTCAGGCACTCCCGTCACCCTTCATAGGTACTATGTTGGATGACATAACGTTCCGCCTAGCTGTATGCTTACGTTTAGGTGCTCCTTGTGTTTCTCCGCATTATTGTCACTGTGGAGAAAGAGTCGATGGCTTGGGACACCATGGTCTTTCTTGTTGCAGAAGTGCAGGCCGCATAGCTCGCCATGCCAGCATCAACGACATCATTCGTCGTGCTCTTGCCTCAGCCGGTGTACCAGCCGTATTAGAACCTAATGGTTTGGTACGTGATGACGGCAAAAGACCAGATGGTATGTCGTTGCTGCCTTGGAAGATGGGTAGGCCTTTGGTGTGGGACGCGACGTGTGTAGACACCCTTGCGCCATCACATCTTTTAAGCACCGCTGCATGCGTTGGTGCAGCTGCTTCCGCGGCAGAGGCCCTCAAACGGCGTAAATATTCAAATCTAGTGGGTAACTACTGTTTTGAGCCGTTTGGGGTCGAAACACTTGGGCCATGGGGTCCCAGTGCACACTCTGTGTTTAAAGACATCGCCCGTAGGCTAATCGACTCTACACGTGACCAGAGGGCTGGCTTTTTCTTCGGACAGAAAATAAGCATTGCCATTCAACGTGGCAATGCTGCCAGTCTTCTGGGAACTTTCCCCTGTGATAGTGATGCGGACGAATAATTTGACGCCTAAATTAAGGGTATAATTTTTGTCGTTTTCTTTTACTTTCTTTTTATTTAATAGTTTAGTTGTAGTTAGTTTTAAGTTGTAACTCATAGAGTAAACATAAACTGATTTGACGGCTCTCTGGTTCGAGTCTATGGTGCAAGTGGATTGATTTGTCAATTGTCAATTTTGACATATCTAAGTGACTACAGCAAGACTACACAGTGATGCTATGTTGTACATAGGCCGTGTTCTATTAAATTCAACTTAATCTGAATTTGTTTTTATTCTATTTAGTAATAATACTAAGAACATTATATAAAATAAGGAAAACTGTGCTCTCCGTACCTGTACCAGTGTTACAAAAAGCGTTTGAGTTATTGCAATGAGTTCAAGACATCGTGAGCGCGATAGAAGTCGTTCTAGATCTCGTGACCGCGAAAGGGATAGGCATAAGGAACGAGACCGCGAAAAGACCAGAGACCGAGACCGCGACAAGGATCGTGAGCGAGACCGGGACAGGGACCGCGATCGCGACCGTGATCGCGATAGGGACAGGGACCGCGACCGGGACCGTCATCGCTCCAAGAGGTACGTGACTACGTGTCTATAAGTGTACGGCCCCAACGTACTCAGCGTAGCATAATGACCAGTGTGTTCTGCAGGGACAAGGAGCGCGAGCGCAGCCGGAGCCGCGACCGCCACAAGGACAAGCGCCGGAGCCGCACTCGCTCGCGTACCCGGAGCCGCAGTCGCAGCCGGAAGTCTAAAGATAGGCAATATATTGTTCTGTTTCTACGCTCCACTCTTTACTTGTTTACTATTTCAAACATTTACTTTAAATGCACACAACAATTGCATTACACAGTCAATGATTTGTATCAGATGATCACAGTGGAGTAGGTATTGTATAACAAGTTTCAGTAAAGTGGACTGTTAGAGAATGCCATTAGGCAGCTTTGCTAGATTTCCCATATTTGTGTCTGAAGTAACTTGTACAAGAATAAGACGGGTGGACTTGTACTAGAATAAGGAATATGTGTGTAATACTGAGTCACCTGGTCACAGAGATGGGACAATAGCCCTGCTGGACCAGATGGTGGGCACCACGACGAAGGCGACGGCGCGGCAGGTGACCAGTAACGGCGCCATCAACCCCGCCACGCAGGCTGCCATCCTCGCCGCCGCAGCCGTCGCACAGGTCTCTTCCACACTCCCCACTCCTCCACCACGTTTGCAATCTTTTTGTAACACTATTAAATTCTTTATGTTATGTTTTGTTTATGGGAATTGCAAAACTTGAAACCGTTTAAGTAACTAAATCAATACTAATAATAATTTGTATAGTTACCATGATACCTGTTGGTTTGACTGACTCAAAATACAAAGTTTATAGACACCAGTCATATACTTATTAGTTATTTGCACACACAACCAGCACTTGAAGCAGAACACACAATTGCTATTTGTTACTAGGTTAGTGTAGGACAAACTACATAGGTAGTGTAGTAGTGTATATAGGTAGTAATGTCTACCTGTACTTACATACATGATTATTATGGTGATGATGGTTCCAAGTCTGTGTGTCCAAATATCAGTTAATCATACAATGTACAATTTATGGTCAAATAGTACTGGAGAAGGCAATTGAATGTGACCACAAGCACTCAGTTGTCTTTGGAAATCTCGATTTTCATTGTATACAGGTAATTCATTTACTACTCAGTGGTTGCTTGTACTTAGGTTGTATACTCAAAAATAGAAGATCTGTACTTTGTATTTCACATAAACAAAAAATAACTTAATATGAAGGTGACCAAAATTTAGGTTTATTTAAAGTAAATTATTTTGATTTTATTTGCTCAATGTGCTACAGATCTGAACTCCCTCCTTTAATTTTTTTCCCTATAATATTATGATATTGCTTTCTTTAGTTGGCTAGAGGGTGCGATAGAGGCGTTCGCTTTGTTTTTGTTTGTTTCGGTTTGTGTTGACGAATGTGTCGGTGTTGCGCGCGGCGTAACAGACGTTTGTGGCGCAGCGTCGCATGGCGGCGCCCGTGCAGCCCGCCGCCGCCGCCGCCGCCGCGCTGTCGGCCGCCACGGCCATCCCGCCGCCCACCTCCGTGCAGCAGAAGCTGGAGCTGCTGCAGGCGCGCGCCGACAGCCGCTACCGGCCCGAGCGGCCCGAGCGCCACGACTACCACCCCGACGACGACCAGGACGACGGGCTCGGCCCCGCCGGCGAGACGGCGGCCGAGCGGCGCGCGCGGCGCCGGCGCACGCGCTGGATGGGCTCGGAGCACGACAAGACGTTCATCCCCGGCCTGCCCACCGTGCTGCCGTCCACGCTGACGCGCGAGCAGGAGGAGCAGTACTTGCGTGAGTAGTAGCGCCAGCACTAGCGCTCGCAGTGGCGGCCGCACTGGCGCCAGCAAGGCGGTCGCACTGGCGCCAGCAGGGCGGCCGCACTGGCGCCAGCAAGGCGGCCGCACTAGCGCCCGCAGTGGCGGCCGCAGCTTGGCGAGCGCCGGCCGTGGGCGCAGCGCCGCCGCCTGGCGCCGCCGGCGCGTCCCCGCCGCTTTCTGCCTCGGGCCCGAGACTTGAACTTCGTCAGGTTACGGTAGAGATGTTTCCGTACTTGATAATCGCTTACACTAGAATTGTTCTCTCATTTTACATATAACCAGAAACTCATTGAATGTAACTCAATGGAAACGTCTCTACTGTGATACATTGCTTCATGTGTTAAAGGTTTTCATTTCCTATCCTGTTGAATATTATAATGTGCAGGTGAATCTTACATGGTGTTTGTGAACTAAACTTATCTTTAATTTCCAATATGGACATTATAATCTGTTGCATACAATAATATTATATTGGTGCCGTGTTGAGATAGTCTACTAGTATCACTTAGTTTGGACGACTAGAGATTTATAGTTATATATATATAAATATAATATATTTGAAAGATACTGCAAAGCAATAGCAACGGCTTTACTTGTTTTCCGAGACACGAGTTTGAAACACCGCATAACTATGCATAAGGTTCAGTTCGATACTGTAAAAGTAGGTAATGTTGTGTTAATGCTTACTGGACAGTCGAACCTCAAGCCTTTTGGCCCGCAGTCACGACCCTAGACACACTCACTAATACATATTTTGAAAGTAACAGAAATGTCGTAGCCTTCGGTAGAGGTCGCTAGAGGTCGGTAGCGGCGTTAGGCAGTGGGTCAGTATTCTAATGGCGCGGTATGGCCCGGTTGGCTAACCCGTTCCCTTGCAGTGCAGCTGCAGATCGAGGAGGTGTCGCGCAAGCTGCGCTCCGGGGACCTCGGCATCCCCGCCAACGTCGACGAGAGGTGCGTGCACTGGACCGGCTCCCACCGTCCCTGTATTGCCATATCGGTGAAAGGAAAACAAATATTAAAGCTCCAAGTTTTTAATGTCATTAAAGTGACTGGATACGGGATGGCGCACGAACTGCGCGATGTATCTCGGGTTCGATTCCCGCAGTATGTTTATAACACCTGACATGTCCCCGTCGTAGCTCGCGGAGCGTGTGATGTGCCAGTCTTACTACTAATGCGCGATTTTCTATTTGCAGGTCGCATACAGATTAATACTAATGATTCAATTAATTAACTAAACTCATTCATAATTTTCAGCCACTACAGCTCAATTGTATTAATATTAATTATTTTCAGGGCTAATGAGCTTCATTAAAATTTCAGGAACAAATTAATTGAATTATTTTTCCCGAGCGATAGGTTCTAGGTGCTAAAGTCCGGTCGCCGAGCACGAACAATGTCGTACATGAACTGTCACTCGTTCAGTATTGGGACGAGCCAGTCATGGAATAGTTTGACTTTTGTTTTATTAGTTTGCTGAGGAAACAGATGTAAACAAAGCTTAATTGAATATGTACAAAATGAAATAAAAAATATATCTATTTTATTTATATAGAGCTTATTGAGATTAATTTTAGCAAGTTAATTCAATAATTTCAAGTTATTACATATCTTCTCCGTGGGAGAAGAGGCCTTTGCTCAGCAGTGGGCACTTATGGATTGTTGTGCTGTGATGTGATGTGACGTTGGTATACTTACGTGAAAGTACTTTGCTTTATTTAGAAAATTTGTTTTATCGTGATAGCTTTACAAAACTTCTTAGAAATCGAAACACCATATAAAGAAAGATTTCCAACCAATGTCACTAGGTCATCGTATGAAATTGTCGGTGGTCGGCGGGCGGACTGTAGAGTGTAGGATACGAGTGCGTATGTACAGTGTGCAGTATGTATGGTGTACACTATGCACGGTGTACAGTATGCACAGTGTACACTATGCACGGTGTACAGTATGCACAGTGTACAGTATGCACAGTGTACAGTATGCATAGTGTACAGTATGCACAGTGTACAGTATGCACAGTGTACAGTATGCACAGTGTACAGTATGCACAGTGTACAGTATGCACAGTGTACAGTATGCACAGTGTACAGTATGCACAGTGTACAGTATGCACAGTGTACAGTATGCACAGGGTACAGTATGATGTAGAGTGTGTGCGCTAGGTCCCCGTCGCCGGAGCCCATCTACTCCACGGACGGGAAGCGCCTCAACACGCGCGAGTACAGGACGCGCCGCAAGCTGGAGGAGGAACGACACCGACTCGTCACTCGCATGCATCAGATCAATCCTGACTTCAAGCCGCCGCCCGACTACAAGTACGTCGTGTGTGTGTGTGTGAGAGTGAGTATATATATATATGTATATATATATCTGACGCCGTTGTATGTGCAGGCCGCCCATCATCCGCGTGCACGACAAGGTGATGATCCCGCAGGAGGAGCACCCCGACATCAACTTCGTGGGACTCCTCATCGGACCGCGCGGCAACACGCTCAAAGGTCAGCTCCGTCGTACCACTAATCTGAGGTCCATGTGTTAGCTGGGTCACTCAAACGTCCGTTCGATTCTTCTACTCGTAGCCATGGAGAAGGAGACCGGAGCCAAGATAATAATCCGCGGCAAGGGCTCCGTGAAGGAGGGCAAAGTGGGCCGCAAGGACGGACAGCCCCTGCCGGGCGAGGACGAGCCGCTGCACGCCTACATCACCGCCACCAACGCTGACTGCGTCAAGAAGGCCGTCGAGAAGGTGAGAGCCGCGGCACCCCCATGCTTCCCCCCCCCTCCGAACATGAAATAAGATCGCCGATGTCCACAGATCAAGGAGGTCATCCGTCAGGGCGTGGAGGTGCCGGAGGGCCAGAACGACCTCCGCCGCATGCAGCTGCGGGAGCTCGCGCAGCTCAACGGCACGCTGCGGGAGAACGACGCCGTGCGCTGCGCCAACTGCTCCGCCACCGACCACAAGACGTGGCTCGTGAGTACATGGGCGCGCGAGTACATGGGGGCGCGAGTACATGGGGGCGCGAGTACATGGGCGCGCGAGTACATGGGGGCGCGAGTACATGGGCGCGCGAGTACATGGGGGCGCGCGAGTACATGGGGGCGCGAGTACATGGGCGCGCGAGTACATGGACGCGCGAGTACATGGGCGCGCGAGTACATGGACGCGCGAGTACATGGGGGCGCGCGAGTACATGGGCGCGCGAGTACATGGGGGCGCGCGAGTACATGGGGGCGCGAGTACATGGGCGCGCGAGTACATGGACGCGCGAGTACATGGGCGCGCGAGTACATGGACGCGCGAGTACATGGGCGCGCGAGTACATGGGCGCGCGAGTACATGGGGGCGCGCGAGTACATGGGCGCGCGAGTACATGGGGGCGCGCGAGTACATGGGCGCGCGAGTACATGGGGGCGCGAGTACATGGGCGCGCGAGTACATGGGCGCGCGAGTACATGGGGGCGCGCGAGTACATGGGCGCGCGCCTACCGCCCTGCAGCGCCCGATACTTAACGGTTCCGTCTTGTGTGCAGTGCCCGGACAAGCCCAACGTCACCAACAGCATCGTGTGCTCCTCGTGCGGCGGAGCCGGACATATTGCACGGGACTGTCGAGCCAAGCGACCCGGCCAGGGCACGCTGCACTCCGCCTCCAACAAGGTAATACGCGCGACTGTAGAGCCAGCGACCCGGCCAGGGCACGCTGCACTCCGCCTCCAACAAGGTAATACGCGCGACTGTAGAGCCAGCGACCCGGCCAGGGCACGCTGCACTCCGCCTCCAACAAGGTAATACGCGCGACTGTAGAGCCAGCGACCCGGCCAGGGCACGCTGCACTCCGCCTCCAACAAGGTAATACGCGCGACTGTAGAGCCAGCGACCCGGCCAGGGCACGCTGCACTCCGCCTCCAACAAGGTAATACGCGCGACTGTAGAGCCAGCGACCCGGCAGGGCACGCTGCACTCCGCCTCCAACAAGGTAATACGCGCGACTGTAGAGCCAGCGACCCGGGCAGGGCACGCTGCACTCCGCCTCCAACAAGGTAATACGCGCGACTGTAGAGCCAGCGACCCGGGCAGGGCACGCTGCACTCCGCCTCCAACAAGGTAATACGCGCGACTGTAGAGCCAGCGACCCGGGCAGGGCACGCTGCACTCCGCCTCCAACAAGGTAATACGCGCGACTGTAGAGCCAGCGACCCGGGCAGGGCACGCTGCACTCCGCCTCCAACAAGGTAATACGCGCGACTGTAGAGCCAGCGACCCGGGCAGGGCACGCTGCACTCCGCCTCCAACAAGGTAATACGCGCGACTGTAGAGCCAGCGACCCGGGCAGGGCACGCTGCACTCCGCCTCCAACAAGGTAATACGCGCGACTGTAGAGCCAGCGACCCGGGCAGGGCACGCTGCACTCCGCCTCCAACAAGGTAATACGCGCGACTGTAGAGCCAGCGACCCGGCAGGGCACGCTGCACTCCGCCTCCAACAAGGTAATACGCGCGACTGTAGAGCCAGCGACCCGGCAGGGCACGCTGCACTCCGCCTCCAACAAGGTAATACGCGCGACTGTAGAGCCAGCGACCCGGGCAGGGCACGCTGCACTCCGCCTCCAACAAGGTAATACGCGCGACTGTAGAGCCAGCGACCCGGGCAGGGCACGCTGCACTCCGCCTCCAACAAGGTAATACGCGCGACTGTAGAGCCAGCGACCCGGGCAGGGCACGCTGCACTCCGCCTCCAACAAGGTAATACGCGCGACTGTAGAGCCAGCGACCCGGCCAGGGCACGCTGCACTCCGCCTCCAACAAGGTAATACGCGCGACTGTAGAGCCAGCGACCCGGGCAGGGCACGCTGCACTCCGCCTCCAACAAGGTAATACGCGCGACTGTAGAGCCAGCGACCCGGGCAGGGCACGCTGCACTCCGCCTCCAACAAGGTAATACGCGCGACTGTAGAGCCAGCGACCCGGCCAGGGCACGCTGCACTCCGCCTCCAACAAGGTAATACGCGCGACTGTAGAGCCAGCGACCCGGCAGGGCACGCTGCACTCCGCCTCCAACAAGGTAATACGCGCGACTGTAGAGCCAGCGACCCGGCCAGGGCACGCTGCACTCCGCCTCCAACAAGGTAATACGCGCGACTGTAGAGCCAGCGACCCGGGCAGGGCACGCTGCACTCCGCCTCCAACAAGGTAATACGCGCGACTGTAGAGCCAGCGACCCGGGCAGGGCACGCTGCACTCCGCCTCCAACAAGGTAATACGCGCGACTGTAGAGCCAGCGACCCGGGCAGGGCACGCTGCACTCCGCCTCCAACAAGGTAATACGCGCGACTGTAGAGCCAGCGACCCGGGCAGGGCACGCTGCACTCCGCCTCCAACAAGGTAATACGCGCGACTGTAGAGCCAGCGACCCGGCAGGGCACGCTGCACTCCGCCTCCAACAAGGTAATACGCGCGACTGTAGAGCCAGCGACCCGGGCAGGGCACGCTGCACTCCGCCTCCAACAAGGTAATACGCGCGACTGTAGAGCCAGCGACCCGGCAGGGCACGCTGCACTCCGCCTCCAACAAGGTAATACGCGCGACTGTAGAGCCAGCGACCCGGCAGGGCACGCTGCACTCCGCCTCCAACAAGGTAATACGCGCGACTGTAGAGCCAGCGACCCGGGCAGGGCACGCTGCACTCCGCCTCCAACAAGGTAATACGCGCGACTGTAGAGCCAGCGACCCGGCCAGGGCACGCTGCACTCCGCCTCCAACAAGGTAATACGCGCGACTGTAGAGCCAGCGACCCGGGCAGGGCACGCTGCACTCCGCCTCCAACAAGGTAATACGCGCGACTGTAGAGCCAGCGACCCGGGCAGGGCACGCTGCACTCCGCCTCCAACAAGGTAATACGCGCGACTGTAGAGCCAGCGACCCGGGCAGGGCACGCTGCACTCCGCCTCCAACAAGGTAATACGCGCGACTGTAGAGCCAGCGACCCGGGCAGGGCACGCTGCACTCCGCCTCCAACAAGGTAATACGCGCGACTGTAGAGCCAGCGACCCGGGCAGGGCACGCTGCACTCCGCCTCCAACAAGGTAATACGCGCGACTGTAGAGCCAGCGACCCGGGCAGGGCACGCTGCACTCCGCCTCCAACAAGGTAATACGCGCGACTGTAGAGCCAGCGACCCGGGCAGGGCACGCTGCACTCCGCCTCCAACAAGGTAATACGCGCGACTGTAGAGCCAGCGACCCGGGCAGGGCACGCTGCACTCCGCCTCCAACACACTCGCTAGATTATTTACCATCTGTACAATTTGGCAATGGTCAATGTCAATTAAGGAATTATTTCTCCCTTTTTGTATAATTACTATTTGAAATGTATAACGCCTTTATTAAATATTGTGCTGGTGTAAAAAAGCCAGATTACAAAATATATCTTATTACCTAAAGAAAGTCCAAATTTATATAAAAAATGACTGCAAATACTGTCATGTATTATTTGAATTGAAATAAATAAATATATGCGCTGACGGCTGTGTATGATGTTGAGTCCGCGCAGGCCAAGATAGACGAGGAGTACATGTCGCTGATGGCGGAGCTGGGCGAGGCGGCGCCGGGCGGGGCGGGCGGTGTGGGCGGTGCGGGACGGCGCGCGGGCGCGGCGGGCGGTCTGTTCGCCCCGCTGGCCCCGCCGCGCCCCATCATGGCGCCGCCGCTCGCACGTACGTACTCACTGCATTACTTGCTGTCACCAGCAAGGGAAGCTACGTTAAGTTATTCAAATTACTTCGATGAAAGTGTTCGGTACGAAAAATAGGGAAGTTTGCAACTAATCAAACTAAATACTTTTGTCGAAATGTTAAACTATATTTTCTTGTGAATTTTGTAAAGAGATAAAAATGGTAACGTTAAAATATATGGAAAGTACCCGCAATGTTCTATGGATAATGTCTTTCGACAAAAGAAGATATCGTGACATCTGAAAATTTGTACGTCAAATACAATGTCAAACAACATACTTTAATTAATTTCTTTAAAAAAATACTTGAAAATATGTGACATTTCCATTTCGTAGCCAACGGACTTAAAGCGTGTTTATGAATTCCTGCCGATTGTTTATTTGACTTTAAGTCTTGTAAAGAAGCCTAATCGTTTAGGTTGATGGTTGATCTCGTTGATATTCAACAGTTTTATCACTAGGTCCCACATGGCAAAACCCTAATATTGGTGCCAGAAAGAACGCTGTATTATACTTTTGGACGAGCATTGTCGTGCATACATATCAAACCATCACCTACTGTATGTGAATATGGAATGCCATGAGATCAGATTACTCGCTCGGCGTTCCTTGCTGTTACAGAAGTCTTATTCAGAAATGCAAGCTCTCTATAATCTATTAAGCTAATTCCAAGCGAGGTCCAAATGATATCATTTGAACCCTTGTAACAGTCGTATCCATGGTTACAAGGACCTATAAATCGTTTAGATTGTTTCTCCATACTTGTACAAATCAAATCAATCAATCACAATCCAAACAAAATTCTCACAAAAAGCAACATCCTCACACAAAAACCGACGTGAAACAACGCTTGTAGTGTTTCGTCGTGTGAGTGACGTTACCGGAGTTCCAATTACCTCCCTCCCCAATTCTTGAATCCCCAACAATCTTCACATTCCTAATCCCCAAAAGTCCGGTAACGCAGTTGTAACGCCCCTGGTGTTTGGAGTGTCCGACGCCGATTGTTTACCATCAGGTGACCCGTATGTTCGTTTATCGTATTATCCCAAAATAAGAGTTAGCTACACAGTGGTCTTTGCGTGCAGGAGAGTTGGCGGGCGCGTTCCCGCCCCCGCCGCCCCCGCCGCCGGGCGCGCCCGCGCCCCCGGCCGGCGCCCCCGCGCCCCCGCCGCCTTCCGCGCAGGCGCCCTGGCTCGGTAAGTACTACACACTACTTCTCACTGAATATTTCTGTATAAACGTGATAACATAACAAAGTAACAGATTTACTACTGATTACCTTACGCCTGCACCGGGTGGGTCAATAAGTCCCGGGACTTCACACTTGAAAGTTTTTTATTAGCAAAATTCAACTTCATTCCACGGCAATACAATCGATTCAGCATTTTCAAAATCATGTCCATTACAAACAACATTGAGAGAGCAAAAATTGACGCCTTCGAAATGTGGTGCTGGAGACGTATGCTCCGTATTCCCTGGACCGCTCGTCGCACCAACGTCTCCATTCTCAAGGAGATCGGAATTACTACGAGGCTGTCCACTGTATGCCTGCAGCGAATATTAACTTATTTTGGCCACATTGCGCGTAGAGACCCCAACAATCTGGAGAAGCTTGTGGTTGTTGGTCGGGTTAACGGGAAAAGACCTCGCGGTCGTTCACCTACCCGGTGGTTGGATGCTGTAAAAAACCTAACCGGCCTGACAGTTCCACAAGCCATAAAGACCGCAGAGGACAGGGGCGTTTGGAGGAGGGTTGTGCATCAAGTGACGCGTGCACCAGACTAGACACGACCTTCAGTAATGAAGAAGACGACTAGGAAGGACAAACAACAAGCCATCATCTTGCAGACTGATTTAGATGTCTTCTCCTGCCCTGTTGCCTCGCCTTACTGCCGTTATGACACTGAAGTGAAGCGATGAATGGCATCAAACATTTCTCTTGAGATTTGAAAGATGCAAACAAAGAATTTTAAATGTTGTATGGGCACCATGAAGTATTGTCAGTTCTTTTTTCTCACATATTTTGGACGTATTTTTGTGACGTATATTTCTCACGTATATTTGTGAGATCTCTTAATTATAAAATTGAGATCTCGTAATTTGAATCTCCAAACACTGTTCTAAACACGCAGTTTTCACGCTCCCACTTCTCTAACAATTTGTTTGAACACAAATCATGCAATCCTGTATGCGCACTATCGTATGATATCTTCAGCGCTTCAGCAATATCGCTCAACTTCATTTATTTGATTTTCTATCACGAATATTAACGCCTTTTTACACTTTTTACATAACTTTTGAATTCGATTCACAATACGATCGGCAAATCGTTGTCTTCGATGGGTGGTGGATGGAGGTTCTTCTTACACTTTCTGGTCCATGCCTCAGCTCCAACGGTGTCTATTACCATCAAAAATTATTTTTTTTATAAGCATACGCATTTTAAAAGCAGCCGCAAATGACGATATACATATTTACGTGCTAGTCTCGGGACTTATTGACCCAACTATGTATTTGCAATATGAGTCCTTACATCAGGGAATATACCTTATTGACGTCCTGGTTTGTGACAGGAGCGGGCGCGGGGGCGCAGCCTCCAGTGCCGGGCGCTCCGCCCCCGCCGGGCGCCGCGCCTCTGCCCGCCTACCCGCCGCCACCGCCGCCGCCGCACCAGGTACTCCGCACTAATTACATCTAACCTAATTTTCTGTTTTGTAGGGAGGGCAAATATCTGTTATCGTGGTTTTGTAATAACTATTTTGAGTCATACTGAATTAACTACAACTTATGAGTTACTTATGTAAATATACTGAGAAAAGACTAGAACGTTATTGTTTGGTGCAGGGTGACGGTAAGATGGGCCCGCCGCCAGCAGTGCCCGGGCCGCACATGCCGCCTCCGCCGCCGGGTATGTATTTCTTCCTTTATTGTTTCAATATTTAACACCAAATATCACAAAGAACAATACTATGCGCAGGCATGCTGGGGCTGTGGCGCGGCGCGTACAACCCGCCGCCGTGGGGCGCGCCGCCGCCGCCCGCCTTCCTGGCGCCGCCGCCGCCGCCGCCGCCCGCCTCGCAGGACTAGCACCTGTCCTGCGTCTCATATTGTCTACTACGATTAAATGAAATTATCGAATGCCATCGTTTATCTTATCCTGTACTTACAACTCGTAAACTGTAATTTGGCCTATAAAGGTACTGTTATGCGTGCTCTAAAATAACATGCTAAAGAATAATATTCCATTGCATATAAGCATTCTATTGAGTATGACCCACTCTGTAGGTACACACTATAGATGCATTAAAGTGATTTGATTTGAGTATGCTTAATACGAGCATGCTTATCAGCTGGCAACAGGCGTGATAGTTTTCAGCATGCTGACTCCTTTCAAAGACGACTAAGTTAAAAAGTTTTATGGAGATTGGCATAGGCAGTGACTACTAAAATATCATCGTATTTTCCAAGTACAGTTAGTATAAAAATATAAATATCGGTAATGAGAGTTTGAAGAGATATAAATCCCTAAATATTTGGGTTATGATGATTAAAAATAAACTTTTCAAAGCATTTATCTTATGTATATTTTTTATATTAATAGATGTGAAATAGTAGCTCAAATATAGTTTATAAAAAATATGATCAATAAAATACTAGCAATACTTTATTTTTGTTGCGGTATTATTAGTTTTATGTTTGCGTCTACTTAGTTGAATACCCTAAATGTTACTAATATGGACCAATCAAATATATAGGGTCCGTGTTAACAACTATGGGGCCGTCCATAAATTACGTCACACGTTAAGGCGTAGGGAGAGGGTCGACAAAGTGTGACATTGTGTGACGAGGGGGAGGGAGGGATCCTAAACTTTGTGATGTCACATTTCAAAAACTATTATAAACATGAAATATAATTCTATTAATTTTTTTTATTTTGTTTGATTAGGTACTAATATTTTTTTATGTAATTTAAATAGAAATAAAACTAATTTCGGAACCGCTGTTTTCATTCAATAAATTTTATACTTACGTAATTCTGTAAAATGTGACGTCACACTAGGGGGGGGGGTCTCACAAATGTGACTACCTGTGACAAGGACGGGGGAGGGGCAAAAAATCATGAAATTCGTGTGACGTAATTTATTGATGACCCCTATGTATTTGAGGTAACTGAACATTGATTTATGTCGTCTCTAACACTGCTCCTTTACGTGTTGCTCACACAAAAAAAACACGATAAAAAGGGTTGTAGCTCCTTTTATTAATTTTTCTAATAAAACCAACGAAAATCAAACGACAACTATAGTCAGAATTTTAATTAGATTCCAGATTTGACATTGGCTACTGTCATTTTGTGAAATAATGATACCACATATAATAAATAGTCTAGTGATGAACACAAAAATCGATAAACAATCAATGTGTGTGTTTTATATTAAATGTTACAGAAAGTGACTGCGATAGCGATAGCGATGACGGCGACAATGTATAAAATAACTTATTACCATAATACATCTTTTTGTTTTATTTGTCATGTTCTTTCATGGTTACATTTTTTTATTTATTTCACACACAATTAAAAAAGAGTCTCAGATCGTTAATTAACCGTCAAAACTAAATTATCGATCAGAAATATTTAATTTCCTGATAAACTTAGTTTACCAAAGTAAAATTATAAACGAGAAGAATCGATCCAGAAATATTTCATTTCCATGTCGAATAATTTCGCAACGTCACTATTTAGTACTTGTCATAACGTGACAACACTGAAATTGTCAAATCTGGAATCGAATTAAAATTCCGAGTATAGGTATTTTGGTTTCGTCGAAATGACATTATACTGTCACCATTGGACCGCAGGTAGCATGCTAATAATTGCACGTCTGTCGATTCGCAAGTACAGCCCGAATTTTTATGTGTGTAGTACACATATTATTTAAATTTTTTTTATTATGTTCTGGCTTCGCATCAACCACTTCATTTTTTTGCACTTCCCATGGCGGACTATCAGAAAATATCTTAAGGCATTAAGTCCGCCATTCACTGTTAGTATCTTTGGTGAAGAAGAAATAAAATAAATAAATTAGCTATCTGAGCAACATTCCGACATACATGATACTAAGTGACAAGTGCTCAATTGAAGCGTGCTTTCGTGCTTGATATCAGCATGTGAAACTGTACCTTACAGTACCTACATACCTAAAAGTACCTTAATTAAGGTACTGTTATACATGTAGTTATATAAAGAATGATATGTAAAAACTACACCTTATGTCATAAGCTTAAATTTTTGTTATGGGCAAAACAATAAACTGGAAAAGAGCAAAACATCAGCCTTGAGATTATGATGGAAACTACAGTATGGACTCGGACATCTGTATCTACAATTAAAAACAAAATAAATCAATTATGCCATATCATTTTGTTGGTACGACTCTGATGCATGTACCTAGTAAGTTGATAAACACACAAAATGAATGTTTGTGTGTGTATTTGTTGTTATATTTCTAGTCTAGCTCATAAACAACACATTTCTGCCTTCGTGAAAGAAAGATGTATCTTATGTATGTAAGTATGATTTTTATGAGCGGATTACCAGGGGGCGGAAGGAGCGCCAAATGCCTTGATCTTTCCCTGATCCACTGCTAAACAAATCTTACCAAGGGCCCCGTGGTTTTAAGTTACATGTTTTTTTTATTTAAACAAAAAGTCGTAGCACTTTAAGAATCGAAAGGGTCTTTCGATTGGCATTGGCTCTGGAAAGTCTCCCCTATTCAAATAAACACCTATAAGTGCTCATTGCTGAGTAAAGGCCTCTTCTCATTATTCGCCACATTTGTTCAAGGCTCAATCATTTGATTGAATTTCTACATATTTTAGAAGGTACCATAATGTTCTGCGTTTTCGCTTTTTCGTAACCACCTAAACTTGGTCGGATTACCACGATCATTCTCATCATAATGACTTTAATCGTATTATCTCATTAATTATCCAATGTACTGAGCTGAAATTTTACTGATATATAACTGAACTAAACAACTAATTATTGACATAAGATTCAGTTCAAATATCCAATCCAGTGGCCAAATAACACCGCGCGCATCAAGGCCGTGCTCGTGAAGAACTCAATATCATCATAACTTGTTTAATACTTACAGGATACTAATGAAACTTCACATACATTTGAAGGCAGTCACAAGCTTTTAAATAACGTTTAAAGTAAGTAAATAAATAAGTCTTTAGAGCTCCTATTGAGAGTGTTGGGACCAATTTAAGTGTTTTTCTATTTAATGAAATAACTTTTAAGCTATTTGGGTAATATTTTGGTTTTTTTATTGCACAACAAATTTGAACTAATTAATAAGAAGCCATGTACCAAATATGATAAGAATCCGCTTAACCATTTCAAAGATCTAGCAAAATCAAAAACGTTACCCCAGCAAAATCTCGAATGACTTCGCAACCGATGAAAGAACAAATACAAAACAAGGCACAACATTTACTTCATCTAGACAACTAATTTTATAGCTAGTAATTATTGAAATATTCCTATTAGAAAAAAAAGGTCTGGCTGGAGTACCTAACATTACTCCAGCAGGAAATGTTTTTGTGAAATAATTAAAAAACTATAAGCGCAACAAATTTAAAAATGTACGCAACAATTACAGAAGCCGGACAACTAATTATCTACAAGATTCAAATGACCATTTTCGACAACATCTGGCCTGGGTAACGCACACGTCGTTTTCGTAAAACTGCAATACTGTCGTCAGGTCTGCCACTCAAATGGCCTTAGATCTACAATACATGTGGCGTCCAGGCCGCTGCACACAAGTGAAACGTACCCGCTGCACCCACCAACTTTGGTGCTAGCAGCTGAGAACAAATTCCGAAGCCCCACCGACTGTTGAGCAATAAACTTCAGTTCGCGGACTTCATGGACTGGACCGCTATTTATGAGAGTCCAACTGTTTTTTTATCGCCATTAAGTTTTTATGAGGGAGCTCATTCAGCTTTGCCGGTGCGGGCCTCTGATGAGCGGGGCATCCGCTTAGCTGGGTAGGTGTCAAGATTTCGTTTATCAGGTAAATAATATTCTTAAGTGTGGGATTAGATTTAGAAACCATCAAAGTTGAGTAACAAATGAAAAAACATTTTTTTTTTTCAGAATTACAAGAGCAGAATTAATTAAAATGTAGTGTAGGTAATAATAATAGGTGTCGTATTAGTCTACCCTGTGCGAGCACTGCGCCGATCTTCATTCATGTTCTCTCAGACATTAGCCGTGTCGCATACTCGCATAGCGAGCAGAGTCAGAGGAGATAATAATAAAACAATACAAATTATAAAAACTTTCGTTTTATTCGGAAATTGTCTAATTTAAATACATTACACTTGTCAGTCGCAATAGATCGATGTGAACACGAAATGAAATTATTAAATGCACAAATTACATCTAACTCTTATTCCATACTAGTGGAGATTAAAATAGCATTCATTAATGATAAATGTTAGAGTCGCGTGCACGAAAACAAGATTCCATCTAATAAAATTAAATATTGCAACAGTGTTGTCACTGAAACGAATAAATAACTTACGACACCGCACAGCAGTTTGCGGCTATACAACCATACACCCGACAGGCAGTCCGCACCCAACGACATAACATCACTGGGGCCAGGAGCGCTGTGATGTATCGTTATGTGTAGCAAACATTTTACAAAGTGATTCCTTAATATACCATCATTATACTTCATGTATCAAAACTAAAGTACAAAGTTTAATTGTATCTAAATATAAACCTTATTGTATAGGAAGGCCGTATCTGTGTACCTACTGTAGCCAGGCCCGTCCCGACCGAGGCCCACCGGCCAGTAAACGGTCCGAGTCTCATATCACAAACAGTTCCCTAGCACTCTAGCAGCACGCCGCGGCGCCGACGTGACAACGAAACAAAGTGTTTACTATACAGAATTAGCAAATAATCATAACTGTCGACAATTCGACTTTAGCTTCGATCGAGGAAGCGGCCGACCAGTACCCCGCCCCCGCGCCCCCGCCGCCGCCGCGCCCCGGTCCGCGCCCCTCATCGCGCCTCCTTGGCAGTGAGTTTCTCGATCAGTTCCTGCAGCGGCGCCAGCTCACGTCGCTCGATCAGGTTGAACTCCTGCAAAGTATCAACAATATCGATGTCATTTCAAAGATCCTAGTCGATGTCACATTTATGATTGTTTTGTTAACATTTTCTTTATTAATTTTACATAAAATTTCTAATGTTTCATTTTGTTGAGGATAACATTGTACCATTTGATAATTTTATAAGTAGGTACATTATTTTTGCACACCGACATTGAAAGCGAAATAAAAGGACCTGAATGATTATAAAAAGACAAAATATTTGTATTTGCCTTATTTACGCAAGTTAATAATTTTAAATTTTTATGTGAATGGACCGACAAAAAGCTAATTTATGTTGGACTAACTTCCACACGCGACTTCGTACGCGCAATTCTGTATAACACCAGAGGCGTTACTAATGCTTTTCCGGTCTTTTGGGGATTAGAAACTTGAACATTGTTGGAGATTGGGGAGGGGGATGTAGTTGTTCATTGTTCTTATATAATTGAATCAACGAAACAATGTTACTAAGAAACGTATTGTACACGTGATTGACAAAGAGTAGCCTAGAGAGTAGTACGGGCTCAGTTCAATTCAATAAACCTCCCAGTATCAAAATCCGCAACAATTAAAACAATAATTGGATGTATATTACCTATAGATAACAAGTTGGCTAATGTAATAACTATCATTAGTGGAGCCTAATTACACAAACACGGCGCGCAATTTTAATTCCACCTGTATATACGTTTCAGTGGCGTAGTGTGCTTGCCTTGGCTCGTTGGCTGGGCCCCGTATAACAATTTGTTTGGGGGCCCTTATAAGGAAAACATGAAAAAATATATATTATAACTTTCGTAAGACGTACTAAATTAATTATTATGTTTTTCGACTTACTCACGTAATTATTTAACGAGGAACTCGACTAGTTTCAGGCCATACTAGAGGCTCATATTCGTGAGCAGCATTCCGCGACATGCGACGCGGCAACTCAGGCGCTGCTACTGGGTAGCGCGACAGTGCTCAGTAAAACAAGTCGACTCTCGACTTCCTTGTTAAATAATTATTACGTGAGTAAGCAGAAAAAGATAATATTTAAAAAAATATATGCATAAAATAGTAACAATTTGTGTGAAAATCGGACAGTTTCCAGGTAACTCTCCAGTTTTTCGAAAGTTTCTTCCAATCTTTGAACGCATGCTTTACGCGAGAAAAATAGTTTTTACACGTGAATATAGTGAGAAAAGCTTTATAGTTTCGACCCATAGAGGGGTCCTTCTTCGTGAGCAGCGTGCGATGTCGCGCAGCCTACTCGTGTGGGTAACCCGTGCTTTTTAGTTAATTTCGTGTTCGATTCCCTGGTCGGGCAAAGTATTACTGGGTTTTTAAATATTCTCAGTAGTAGCACGGAGTTTGGAATTGTACCCGGTATTTGGCAATAGGTTCACCCCCTATTATATGGGACTCATAACATAAATAGTGAAAAGTGGGTGTTGGATTGTACAGTGGTATAATGTACACCTCTGCCTACCCCTTCGGAGATAAAAGGCGTGATGTTATGTTATGTTATTGTAATTACTGGGAAGTTTTTAAGTTTGGCTAACGCCCGTTGGGGCCCGTATAATTGATACGGCAGGTAAGGCGCTAGCTACGGCCCTGATACGTTTGTTAACTGACCCTTGAAACTTCGAGTCCAGTAACAAGACAGTACTTAACTAATCCAAGTTGAATACTGATCATATAAATAGTACCTGCACGAAGAAGATGAAGTGTTTGAAGGAGGTATTGAGGTGCGCCTCCTCCCCGAGCTGGACTACCTCGGGGAAGTGTTGGTGGTAGATGTGCGCGTACACGCGGAACAGACGCTTGAGGATCGTCTTCGCCATCGGCAGGAAGTTCTTGGGGAACGGCACGCCTGCAACACTCCGTGACTACACTACACGCCGCCTACGCCAGCTACATGAATGCAATGGAATGAATACGGCAGGTACCTATTTTAGAGGGGAATAAAGTTTCGTCGTCGAGCTGGTCTTGCGCCCACGTCATGAGATAGTCGATGTACTTGGGCGCGGAGCATTTGATGGGCTTCTTGACTGTGTGCCCGTCTGCCCAGTGGTACTCGTACTTGGGCCCCGCCGACATCACGGCGCACGACTCCTCCGTGCAGAACTCTGTGATGGTGCCGTACAGCATGTTGATCTGGTTGAAGAAGTCCACGGCTGCCGACACACAAATACCAATAAGTAGGACTAACAGCAGTGAAGAACAGTTTTGATGTTTGGGGTCTGGAATAATCTAGTGACTGGAGTTTTTTTTTTTCTTTCTTTTTGGGGCAACGGAGTCTCCAATACAGTGTTGTCGACTATACTGCTAGTGTCGAGTGGTGACGATTTTTGAGATTATTGGGCCTTCGAACTGAACTTTGTGGTAGTTTTAGTTGTTCATTTATAAATTTGGACAAACACTTAATTAATTTATTAGTAAAATTACTTAGAAGGGAAAGCAGTCACTTGTAACAATACAGTGTCAGTCGGTCGAAACGTACAGGTTGGCAAAAAAGAGTTTGGAATAATTGAGGTCGTTAGTATTCGTACTCTGGGCAATCTGATACGTTACGACTCAATCGGTTTTGATATAATCTAAAAATAATTGTAGAACGAATCTGAGAATTTATAAAATAGAAATGATTATTAAAAAAAATAGCTCAACTTTGTACCACCTCGAAACATTTTTTCTCATCGTTTAAACCTTCCTTGTACTTTTTTTATTTATTTATTAATTCATGGAGGACTTACAGCTTATAAAAATTGATACAAATAACAATAGGCGTAGGTAACAATGAGCCAATAACAAGTCCTCACGTTTAGCATTTGGAATAAATTAATTAATATGGTGTGAGTACTATACAATATTAAAAATACATACATTCTACTTAAAGTTAAAGGCCCACCTAATTATTGTCGTATGCTATTTATAAATTAGAAGTACTTAGCAAATTATTATTTTCATTTTATTTAAGTATTATTGTCTATAATAAGTGATGAATAAGTATCAGAGTTGGCTTTTGTATCACGGTGGGCGGAGTTTTCTCTCATTGTAAAAACATCAAGATTTTAAAATTTTTCAAAGACATATTTTATATGCATGATATGCTAGCATTTAAGTTACTAATAGGTACACGTACAAAGATTGTTAGACATAAGTAGGTACTCACAATGTACACTTGATGTTTTATATTTTTTAATTTATATTCTCAGACTTTTGTGTTTTGTATACCGACCATTTTTGTTTATAAAGTACTACGTCCTTTGGTGGGCGGTATGTCTAAATAGATTAAGTTCATTAGGTTGGCAACATTTCACGCACACAGTCATACTTCACACACATTCTAATTATGTTCATACAGTCCACTCATCCTTACTAATATTATAAATCGGAAAGTGAGTTTGTTTGTTTGTTTGTTCCGCTTTCACGCCGTAACTACTAAACTGATTGCTTTGATTTTTTGCAGACATAAAGTTAGAAGTCCGGATTAAATAATAGGATACTTTTTATCCCGGAAAAAAATCTTACTAATATTATAAATCGGAAAGTGAGTTTGTTTGTTTATTTGTTTGTTCCGCTTTCACGCCATAACTACTAAACTGATTGCTTTGACTTTTTGCAGACGTTAGAAGTCCGGATTAAATAATAGGATACTTTTTATCCCGTAAAAAATTGATATACCCGAGGGAAAACAAAAGTATTGGTATAGATGGCGCTGTGTGTATTGGTATATGTCACATAGGCTACTTTTTATCCTTTTGTGACGCGAGCGAAGCAGCGGGTAAAAACAAGTCTAGAATAAATTATAAAGAAAGCTGTGTGCAATAAATATCCTTTGAGTAAAGACGTATTAAAAAGTTTTATTTCACCAAACAAGCTGATATAGAGTGAAACAAGTGAAACACTTTCGGTCGGGCAAAGTATTACTGGGTTTTTAAAAAAAATCTCAGTAGTGGCACGGAGTCTGGAATTGTGCCCGGTAAATAGCAATAGGCTCACCCCCACTTACATGGGACTCATAGCATAAATAGTGAAAAGTTACATTGTTACAATGTACACCTCTCCGGGGATAAAAGGCGTGATGTTATGTATGTATGTAAATATAACTAAATTGATTCTGATGAAATTTGTTACACAGCATTGCAATTAACCTCGGCGAACACTAAATAAAAAATCCAAAATTTGCCACAAGTCATTATTATACGCGGACGACGTCGCGGGGAACAGCTAGTCATATCATAATCCGGAGGTTATACGCCGGGGTCGTGCGGTCCATGGCCCTCTACGGCGCCCCTGTTTGGGCGCCGAACCTGTTGCGGCGTCCTGCTCGGACGCTGCTCATGTCACAGAGGGTCATGGCGATCCGAATGATCCGCGGATACCGCACGATCTCTGGGGAGTCGGCGAACCTCCTTGCCGGGTTACCGCCGTGGGATCTGGAGGCGAAGGTGCTCGCGCGCGTGTATAACATGCGCGCGGAGGCACGTCGCCGGGGCGAAACTCCGCTGCCGCGCCAGATAAGTGCGTGGCGGGATGAGCTCCGGCGCGATCTCATGGCGGAATGGCAGCAACGACTGTCGCAACCGGGGGCTGGGCTCGCTGCCATTGCAGCGGTAAGTCCCCTCTTTGAGGAGTGGCTTGAGAGACGCTATGGCGTCCTCACCTACCGCCTGACGCAGGTCCTCACCGGACATGGAAGTTTCGGGAGGTACCTGTGTCTGATGGGGCGGGAGGAAACGCCCGGGTGTCATCACTGCGAGGACCGCCCTGAGGACACGGTGGAACACACAGTGGGAGAATGCCCTGCGTGGGCTGAGCACCGCCGTGCCCACAGGGAAGTGATCGGCGATGGCGACCTCTCGCGTCCGGGCCTAGTGCAGGCCATGATGCGGAGCGAGGGGGATTGGGATGCCGTCTCCTCCTTTTGCGAAGCAGTCATGCTAGCTAAGGAGGAGGCGGGACGCGTGAGGCAGCGAAGCGCTGCCTCCTCGCAACCCAGCCATCGCGAAGGACACACCGGGCGTCGGGGATCGCGAGACGATCTCCGGCCACCGTAAGCGCGGGCCTGCGGACGGCGAGCATGGGTGGCTCCCCGTCCGACCAGAAACAGACCCGAGCGTACGGCGCGTCGCGTTCCGCGCGCGCCTCAAAGAGCCATCAGACCACCACAGATGGGGCCCAATAGGGCCGATGCCGATTCGGAGTCGCGGAGAACCTAACGGGTAACCGGGGCTCCGGCTCGACGTGCAGGAGAAGGAACGGGGTGGTTTTTAGTCAGTAAGAGTCTGACACTCCCTTCCGCCTCACCCAGGCGGGAGCAGTCATTCGATGATTTTCCCCCCTTAAAAAAAAAAAAAAAAAAAGTCATATCATAATATTATTATATTGTCTAATCAGGCAGGCAGTGGAGACAGCTGACATATACCTATGCTTGTATGGGATTCCTCTCTAAAATAAAAACATTATTTTGTCTTTTATTGAAACCTACGCGAATTGGGCATTATTGCGAATACTCAATTATAATTCAAGTCAGGTTTTAGCAGTGTGACAAATGATTGTATGTTTTATTTTAATGAATATTTTCCGTGTTTGGACGGGAAACTACAACAGGAAGTTCGGTCCACTGTGAGCTAGCAGCGCAGTAGTGACTTATTTGTTATCTGATAATTATCATAGAGACAATATATAAATATACAATGTAGCAAATGTTTGCTTATTAACTAATACAAATAAATAAGTCGCGGCGTCCGACGCGCCATATCAGCTCTGAGTACCGAAATATCAAATTGATGCAGGCACTGTGGCGACGCATGCCACATGTCAACGGATGACGTCACAAGAATCCTACATCGCACATGCGAAGTTTACAAACGAATAAACACGGATAGAAAATCCTAACGAACAACCGTTGGGCAGAAAGCCCGCCAGGCACGATCACCTCGCCTGGTCGGAGGATCCTCCTTTTCCGATCTTAGGGAACTATACTCTCTGTTCCCTAAAGTGGTGACCCCGACGTGATTGGAAACAACTTTCACTTCACGGAGCAGATTAGCACCGTCATCCGTATCGCCATCCCTCGCATTCATCACTTCTCCGCTGAGCGGTAATCAACTCGCAGCCAACCAGCATCCTCGGCCTCATCAGGGACCACCATCACCTGCAACGAAGTTGTGCAGCCTGGTTCTTCCCTACGGCCTCACCAGCGTCTAGGCACAGCACTTCTGCACACGGTCTGAAGGACACCTCCTCCCGTCAACGCAGATGCCGGCCACTACGCACCTACCCTCGCAGCATCTCTTCCCCGACTCACCGTGGGACACTGCGAACGCATCTCTCCGACTCACTGGAAGTTTCACCCTGCACCGCTCACCCGACTCACTGGGCACTCAGCGGCACGGTTCCGACCCACTGGAACTAGGGACGTTCTACACTGGCTCTGGCGCCACTCATCTCAAGCATCGACAGCCGTCTCAGCGGGATCGACCTCCGGTCTTAGGAGGGAGTGATGTGGCGACGCATGCCACATGTCAACGGATGACGTCACAAGAATCCTACATCGCACATGCGAAGTTTACAAACGAATAAACACGGATAGAAAATCCCAACGAACAACTGTTGGGCAGAAAGCCCGCCAGGCACGATCACCTCGCCTGGTCGGAGGATCCTCCTTTTCCGATCTTAGGGAACTTTACTCTATTCCCTAAAGCACAGATGGCTATACAAACACCTATATTCCTGGACTACAGATACAACCTTAACAGCCCCTGGTGGTGCACTGCTGGAGTATGGGCCTCCTTTACATCAAACGTAGGCAATAATCTACATTAAATGAATTATTATTATGTTTCTCGGCTTACTCACGTAAATATTTGACGAGGAACTCGACTAGTTTCAAGCCATGCTAGTAGAGGCTCATATTCATGAGCAGCATGCCGCGACCCGCGACGCGGCGACTGCTACTGGCTACTCGAGTCTGCGGTGTGGTATTGGCGACGGCAGCGCGCGCGACTGTTGGCACGTTAGAGTCGTTCGCCAGCAGTTGGGGTCGAACCCCGGTTGATGGCTTATTTCGATGGCCTCACGTACTTTCCGCGATACGAAGTATTTCTCCCTCCGACTAAGACCTTGTCTAACCGGAGGAAGTGAGCCGTGCCCGTGCCACAACACTGTTTCGCCAGCGCCTGCCGGTGGCTCGCTGTTAACCCGCCGTAACCACGCGGCCGCTTGGACTACAACTCGAGTGGACCGCGCACTGACGACCCGTCGGCTTTTTGTAGTGATTTTATGAAATATATCATACGACATACAGTTGAAAGTTCATATTTAAATGACAACTTATTTGATGCAAATAGCTTCACTAGAGGACTGACCTACAGTCTGACATTTTTTCTTATTATTTAATATTTAAATATTTTGTTTTGACGTTCAAAAGTGCCTTCCTGGTCTAACTGAAATAAATTATTTTGACTTTGACTTAGGGTTAAAGGCGTGCTTATTAGATGTGCGATGACCTTTACTCTTTTCGCATATAGTAGAATTAGAAATGATGGAGTCCGGTATGCTGGAGTATGGTAGAACTAGGAAGGACAAACATCCACTAGCAGTTCCCGGAGTGTTATTGTGTACACTTCGACTGCGACTGTGGCTCGAATTACATCGGGCAAACCACACTCAAGGAACACATGCGCAGTGTGAACAACTGAGACACTGTAGTAGCCGAGCATGCTTGTGGCAATGGCACGGCTCACTTCCTCCGGTTCGACAAAATCTCAGTCAGAGGGAGAAAAACTTCTTATCGCGGAAAGTATGTGAGGCCATCGAAATAAGCCATCGTCCGAATTGGCATCGCGACAGTCACCACGTCGCGGGTCGCGGAATTTTACTCATGAATATGAGCCTCTACTAGCTTGGCTTGTAAAGACATAATAATTCATTTAGTTTGTATCACGAAAGTTATACAGTGCAGATTTATTAGTATTCTGCTGCCCGGTCACTGTATATTGTGTAAGTAGTCAGATATACATGTGTAGTACGTGGAGGACATAGTGAGGGACAACAAATGTATTGTACTCTGGTGTCAAGAGCATTGTTTGTTGATTGGGTATAATTATTCATATTGGATACCTACTACATACAATACTGCAGGCCAAACAATGGATGCATCCGTTTTCACCCATACTGAATTACTGACAGACTGCTTGTATTGTACTAAAAAAATTAACATCTACTTAAATAAGAAAACTTGGTATAAGGTTCCCAGCTATTATAAGAGCACATAAAACAATATAAAAAATATTTTTTCATCAAATTCTGTCCTGTGTCTGTTATATCATTACACTTCTAAAATATCAACCTTTCAATCAAAGATGACTGACCTACTACTTAGACTTTAGCCATTCATAAATAAGCATAGCGGGGTTATTATGACGTCCTAAAGTCAGAATGGTTACATTGAGGGAAGAAACAGAGCTGTACAAGTCTTCTAGCGAGATCTCATTCCCTCAACGGAACCACTCTGGCTTTAAGACGTCATAATACGCCACCAGTATTGATTTAATATGTTGATATATCGTACTGAACGTTACCAAATTTATTCATAATAAAATAGTCTCTAAACATCGGAAATAAGGTCTATAACTGAGATAGTGAAGAGTAGTCACTGGTAACCGCATGGGGATTGAACAATTAATAGATCATAATGTAAGAATGGGGTTCTAAACCTGGCTTTGTATTTTTAACTATGAGTTGAATAGTTTATGTATGAAATAAAACTTAGTTTTCATTGAAATATACATAGTTTTATAAATGTATTGCTGAATAATATGGTTGATGTGCTGTGATTACTTGTTCCTGATACCTTACTAAACTTAAAAACCAATAATTTATTTTCATTATAATATTATATAAGTACACCGACCTCCTGTTCTATGCCCCACCATGCAGTATTGCAGCAATAATGTTTTATGAGAATAAAATCGAAACAATACTACATTATCTTACTAAAATGTATGGTAAGTTTCATTTTTCTATAGCATTCTTTGTTCATCCATGAATACAAGAAAAATCATACAAGAGTACAATATCCAAAGAGGCGTCTAGCCTTATAGTTAGCAAATGGTGTCATTTTGTTGTGCCATACTTACTGTTGACGGCAACCCACTCATTGAGGTCCTCCCCTTCAGGTAACATCACCGCGAGGCGGAGGTTCCCAGAGCCGAGCGTGGCTGCTGCATGTCGCATCAAGTCATACTGATGTGTGCCTTCTGGGATATTCTTCTTAGGTTTAAATGTTTTGTTGGAACGACTTCCACTGAAATGACATGTCAGTGTTTGAGCGGAGCTAATAAACCGTAGAACTGTCCGTTTTAATACGATAAAACTTCATTGGAAACGTAAACAAGACGTCAGCTCGAGAGAACGGAAATGTTTTTGATAAAAATAGATATCACGAAACCGACGTTACTTACAATAAAAAGCTCATGTTGAAAGTGTTCAGTTATCGAATAAATAATTATTTGTTCCCACTAGAATAGCACCAATTCATTAAAACGTGTTACATTGATACAGTACACCACATGATTTACTTGTCAAATGAAAAACTAAATTAAATATTTTATTCCTGAGTTTTACAGATTTTGCTTGATCCAAATGATCCATTCCATTCCATAGAGAAATTAGTAGGTAGATCTGTCTGTTCTGTCACATTGACAAATTAATTTTAATTTATTGCGTTGATTTAAATCTGTGGACGGTAAATTATTGTCTATGGGTTAAATTAATGATAATTATTCATGTCAATAAAATAGAGGATCAATTCATAAGTACTATTTTGAGCCATTTGGGGTCGAAACACTTGGGCCATGAGGTCCCACTGCAGTCTCTGTCTATACAGAAATCGCCCGTACGCTGACTAATCGACTCTGCAGTCTGCACGTGACCAGAGGGCTGGCTATTTCACCAGAAACAGACCCCAACGTACGGCACGTCGCATTCCGCGCGCGCCACACCACAGATGGGGCCCAAGGCCCAACAGGGCTGATGCCGATACGGAGTCGCGGAGAACTTAACGGGGGCTCCGGCTCGACGTGCAGGAGAAGGAACGGGATGGTTTTTAGTCAGTAAGAGTCTGAAACTCCCTCCTGTCTCACCCAGGCGGGAAAAGTCATACGATGATTTTCCCCCCTTAAAATTTTTTATTAATTCCTAGTTATACGTATATGATATCAATTTTGACCTTGTTCTGTTTAACAACTACTATTGTAAAAACAAGTCTGTTATATTACTCAACTTTGTAATAACTATTACTCAATATGAAAACCATTGAAAAATCAAGTTGATTTTATAATAAGGCTTAATAAGGCTTCGTTAGAAACGATTACACCTCATCAACATAGTTAATTTATTAGTTGATTAAAAAATAGAGAATTTGTTTTGGTTTACAACAACGTAATTAAAAACTTACCGATGGAAAGTTATTTCAGATATTTTCTTATGGCTATTGCTGTCACATCAATTTTTTATACGTTTAATGGTATATGCAATTAATATTTTCTTATAAACGAGATTGAAACAGTTGTAGATTAAAGCTTATCAATATGGCGGCACGGAAAAACTGGCTACATGTCAAATTTGTCCAATCGCGGAGCAATGTGACTACAGGTAAAAGAACGACACTCCATTATTATGTTAATGCTTGACAGAACAAGGACAAATAATGATGCATATCATATACGTATAACTAGGAATTAATGTTTTGTCTGCTTATCTATTGTAAGACTGTGCTTTTGTCATTGTATTCTGCCCGTAGACAATTATTTGCCATCTATATTTTAAAGATCAATGCGTTTGTAGTAGTGCTTGTGCTTACTGCTTGTCACTGAAATGTCAGATTTTTTCAGCAGTCAAGAAGATCTGCATTGAATCGATTGCTAGAGTATTATTGCGACTATTTGTGAATTTGTACCCGTTCAATACAAAGCTTAAAAATGCAAGGATTATCTATTGAAAGTTTGAAGAAACACAAAGCTGTAAGTGTCTCTCACTATTTCGTTAATAGAACTGTTCTACGCGTTGGAAATACACTTCTTACATAATTAACCTCTTACCTATATTTTGTTATCCCAGGTACATAAATGTTGGTATTAATCGTAATGGGATAAGGTTAATAATTATTTTCATCTCTATATCGTACAAGGGGAAATAATACATCTAAGTGACGTCCCAATTGATTCGTAAATTTTAGTGTTATCTCTATCTCATGATAAGGTGCCATTTGCAATTGATTTATAAAATTCAAACCTAAGCTAAGTATATTAACTCGTCGAGTACCGGTTTTATAGACACAATTAAAGAACAATAGGTCGCGGTCACCGGTGACCGCTTGGTGTTTGACAGTTTAATCCTTGAAAAAATTAATTTTACATCTTTTATAGGAGCTGTACTTGTTGCAAGATGGTTTTTTTAACTATGTGTGCCTAATGGAGTTTCGTATTACATGTACCTACATATTAACAGTTAGAGTTTGCATACACAGCTTATCCCCTACTACTATATAACCTATTATCATAAACACAGTAGTGTATTACCATATAACCATACTTTCGGAATACTTTCCAAACTAACTATAAACCTGGCTCAATAGGTACTTGGTGCATAAAACAAGAAAACTTAAAGTAGTAGTAGTAAAGTTAACACATCACACACAACAGATAAGGCTACAAACATTATTTATTACTAGCCGCTCGTTTGGCTCCTTATGATTGTAACATGGTGTTTTATAGCCTGTAGACTTCCTCGATAAATATGCTATCCAAGATAAAAATGGTTATTCAAAGAATTGCACAAATTGATTTCCGCTGGTCATTTTCATTATCGTTTCATGGTGACTATCCCAATGCGAGTGCATGAATAGGTAAAGAATGGAATACTTTGCAAGAATCTGTTTCCTGAGGGAAGATTGCTTATGGGCATCATGTGCAATCGAAGGCCGCATCATCGCTTACTAACATGCGAGATAGTGGCTAAATATTAACTAATCTTTAAGATAAAAAATTCAATTCTAAGCAATTGTTCCAGAAATTAGCATGTTCAACCCTTGAGCTTTATATACTTACTAGCTTTTACCCGCGTATTCGCTCGCGTCACAAAGTAGCCTATGTGACATATACCAATACACACAGCGCCATCTATACCAATACTTTTGTTTTTCCTCGGGAATATCAATTTTTCCGGGTTAAAAAGTACCCTATTATTTAATCCGGTCTTCTAACTTTACGTCTGCAAAAATTCAAAGCAATCGGTTGAGTAGTTACGGCGTGAAGGTGGAACAAACAAACAAACTCACTTTCAGATTTATAATATTATTAGTAAATTAGTAAAGTAATATTAGTAATAGTAATTAGTAATATTAGTAACGATTAGAATTCAGATGTATGATAAAGTGAATGAAACTAAGATCACAAAATAATATTGGTCTGGACTGACATTTGGCCACATTAGCAATTGACTGACAGAGCCATATATATGTACACTAACATTCACAAGTTTGGAAGCAGTTCTGATTTTTGACGAGAAAAACACTTAATATCTTTTTTTTGGCATAAACCGGTAAACGAGCAGACGGATCACCTAATGGTAAACAATCGGCGTCGCCCATGGACATCTGGAACACCAGAGGCATTGCAAGTCGTTACCGGCCTTTTGAGGATTGTTGGGGATTCAGGGATTAGGGAGATTATGGAAGTGGGGGGGGGGGGCGTAATTAAGCCTCCGGTAACCTCACTCACACGACGAAACACTATGCAAGCGTTGGTCACGTCGGTTTTCTGTCATTTTTACTTTGAACTTTTTTATGGGATAAGCCTGTAAACGAGCTGACTGATAACCTGATGGTAAGCAAGCTAGATGGTAGCTGATGGCAGCAGAAACGCTTGTTACCAAGTGCGTTGCGGCCTTTTAGCGTACGCTTTCCACCGATGCGAAAATATGTGTTCCTATCTACCTACATTCTATATATTTACTTAATGTAATAATTTTCGAGGCTATTTCCATACACCCTGCACCCAAGAAGTAAATCTTTGCAGACCTGACTCCAGTTGACACTCGAATTCATGTAATACTGCTTGACCGACTTCTGAATTATTGAATTCTATGCATTTTCAACCTGTGGAATTATGACCATGGTTCTGCACATCGGGTGCAGTTCAAGTGGTTGCCCATACGCCAACACAGGGAGCAAAAGGGTTCTAACCACTTTATACTCCTTTCTTGACTCCCTTTTTTCTCCTAGCTATCTATCTACCTACATTCAATATACCAGTGCAAACCGCTATAAATAGGTTGCTTATGGGTCGACGTGCTCCATCGTAGACCGTATCACCGCTTACCACCAGGCTGAATTTCTTCATTATTCTTTCTTCATACAATTGCAATTCTATACAATGTTTTTGTGTATGCGTATTTATGTATAACAGTATGTCGTCTCTGCATCATCATCACCTGAGGCATTAAATAAATAATACAACAAATGTAATGAATTTTCCAGTTGATTCCCTTGTACGTGTGTGTGGGTATTGGATGCGCGGGCGCTGTGTTCTACTTGGGCAGGCTGGCCACTCGCAACCCTGATGTGTCCTGGAACAAGAAGTCAAACCCAGAGCCCTGGGAGGAGTACAGGGCCAAGCAGTACAAGGTATATTTAGTGATGATCAAATGTTCAATGAATAAATGTGGGACGCGAGAAACAAGTATCATGCTGTGTTCGTCGTGTTTGAGTTAATAGTGTTGTATCTTTTGTTTCAGTTCTACTCGCCCATCAGAGACTACTCCAAAGAGGAGTCCCCGGCTCCCAAGTACTAGCTTAGTGCAGACAAGTTAATGTAATCAAGTATATCGCGATGTTTAGATGGTATCGTTTAATAAATAGAGCAATTATGTGATAACAGTTGTTTTATTTTGGTGTATTTATTTATAATATCCAGCAGAGGTAGGCAGAGTGTATAAATTCAAAGCAACACCCGTACAGATGCACAGAATGCGTGCATATCTCCGCGAGGATTTACGAGAGCAGCTGGCTGAAGCTTTGGTTTTGTCGCAATTAAATTACGCGGATACAGTAATTGGCGCTAGATTCTTGTCACGTTACACCTTAACAAACAATATTTATTTATTTAATAGGCACAAAAAACAGTAACACAGCGCAATACACAAGAGAGTAATAATACAAAACTGTAAATGGCAGACCATGCTTCCACAAGTATGTGCACACAACATGAGCAACGACTAGTATTTATTTATTAACAATTATTTATAATGAATTATAATTCAGAACAAAATTAAAGATAAATTGTAATAATAAAGAGAATTAAGAATGCACTTAAACATTAGATACATTATTCAATATTGTCCTCATCATCAGACCGAGCAAGTAACAATTTCCTAATATTTGTAATTTGTGAAGCGAGGAATTGTGGATATCATGCACGCCCATGTCACTCGATAGTAGCTCGTTGTACTTGCGACACATCCTTATCACAGGATTGTGAGACGATACATTGTTGTTGCACATTGGCAAAGACAAAAACATCTCGCGTCTAACAGATCTGGTAGGGATCCTGAGATGAATCTGCGATAATAAGATCGTGGCAAGCATCCTATTCATAATTTTAAACAAATGTATAGAGATGTGTCGATCATGACTTTCGCCGACTAGCCGATTAGTCGGTGGTAATAAGACCGATTAGTCGGCCGACTAGTCGGCTAAGCCGATTACGGTTGTGGGAATTTCCGTAACGCTTCTTTACGGCTGATTCGCGTGCAATCGCATATGCCGCCTGCGAGTGTGTCGGAACATGTTTTGTGGTCATGTGTAATGGTCGAAATAAAAATTAGGTAAAAATTTTTTTTTAAAAATATAATTAAAGATAATATTGTTATTATTCATTGAAGTTAACAAGCAGAATTAATCTCCTGTTTGGATGTTTTTTGAACGATTGGACAATGATTCACGTACAGTTAATTGTAACCAATGCCAAATGATAAATTTCTCGTAGTGGGCAAGGAAAAACAGCTAACACTACATGCATGAACAACCATATTAAACTGTCAAACACCGCGAGGACACCGGTGATCGCAATCTATTGTTCTTTATTTGTGTCTGTAATGACGGTACTCAAAGGGTTAAATACAAACATCCATCCCTGATACTCCAGTTAGGTTCTACTATCAAATGATTCCACCAAGTCTTAAATCTCAGCAGAAGAATTACCCAAAGCAGTGCCAATCTCGTCAACTTCAGTGTCATCAGAGGTCAGTTTAAGTCAGAAAGGCCAACAAAATATTGAAGACAGTTTAACTATAGGTACACTGGTCATGTGAAGACTCAAGATCAAGAGAAATCAATATTGCGATAGGTGAAATGATTGCATTTGACAACCAGCCGTTGACAATTGTTGAAAATACAGGCTTTAGAAACCTGATGAATAAAGATAAACCTAAATATAACATACCGGGCAGAAAGTATCTCACAGAAAACATTATTCCTCAACTTTACAAATAGATTATAAAATAAAAAAATTATATATAGATAATCAAGGATTTTATTTCATGTAGTTCCCCCACATGCATACTTATTATTGAGAAATACATACTTACAACGTAAGAAGCCGGATAGTCGGCGCTCTTTGCCGATTAGTCGCCGACTAATCGATGACTACAATAGTGGCCGGATAATCGGCTTTGCTGACTAGTCGGGCCATCTCTACAAATATACCAAATCCTGGTAGGACCGCCTAATTCCCAAGTTCGGCAACCCAAAATGAGCAGAACGTCACTACCTATCTATTAAGGTTTTAATGAATAATTTTTATGTAAAACTTGTGGCACCGACTTCTCATCTATCAGTGGGTGTGTATGCTATAAGTATGTATGACCAATAATAGTTATTTTTTGCTTTTTAGTTTTCATTTGTTTTTAGTTTTTAAAGTCGGTTTTTTTATTTAGCTGCAAAGCTCCTAATTTCTTCATTGATTGTTCTCATTTCAAGGTGATTGTGTATTTCATTGTTGGTTATGTACCATGGTACTTCCGCAATGGTTCCTAACTAAGATTTTGTTCTGTTGGCGTTGGAGAATTTCTATATTAGAATCGCTTGCGCTGCCCCATGATTGCAGGGCATACATCCAAATGGGTTTCAAGATAACTTTGTATATATATAAGTAGTTTGTTGTCTAGGGAGTCTTGAATTCCTTCTCAGCATCCAGTAAAGGCTCATGTATTTTAACTAGAGCTCCGCTTTTTACATTTGATGTGTTGCTTCCAGGTTAATCTACGATCAATGTGTAGGCCAAGATATTTTACATGATCACTGTGGTCTGTGAGGTAGAGTGCAGTGGCCCAATTTTGCAGGTGGGCAGTTTCCTTTTCTAAGAGTAATGTTACTTGTACTGACTTTGTAGCACTAGCCTTTATTTTCCACTTTTGCAGCCACTCATCTACTTTATTCAGACCAATCTGAAGTTTTTCAGGTGCCACTTTTGGATGTTTAGCTCTCGCTAACATAGCGGTGTCATCTGCAAATGTGGCTGTCAGATCTTTGTGGCAACCCCGGCTTCAATTTCATGTAAATTCGAATAGGCATCTCCCACTTTTTACAGACTTCAAAAAAAGGAGGAGGTACTATGTTCAGCTGAATGTTTTTTTTGTTTGTTCGCGCATACTCCGCCATTTGTGACCCGATTTCCAAAATTGTTTTGTTTGAAAGGGTATACCGAGATGGTCCCATTTCCATGACGTCAGGATCTGATGATGGAACCCTAGGGAAACCGAGGGGAACTTTCGAAAATTGTAGGGGCGAGTAATGCGTCTATTATGTTTTTCAATAAGGATTTTTAGAGAGAACTTCTCAACGGTTTATATTAACTACTTACATTGTCACAAAACGGATCTATGTAGCTTTACACTGAAAATAATTAAAATAAAAACTGCGTTTAAAAAACCGATTTCAAAAAACCAAAAACTAATAAACAAAAAGTCAAATCTAAAAAGCAAAAAATAACTAGGTATTATTGATACTGATAGGTTAACCACCCACTGATAGGTTAGAAGTCGGCGCCATAAGGGTATGTAGCAGACTGATTGGACGATAAGATGTTTTTTCGGTAATTAATTTGCCAGCCTTGTGATTATTTCAGAGACTTTCCACGCATTCGGGAAGCGCCCTATACGTAACATAGCGTTGAAGATGGTGGTGCTGAATAAATGTTTTTTCTTTCTTTCTTTCACCCACTTTACTCTTGAAATAGGGGCTGTCTGAGACATATTGTATTAAAATGTTGTACCACTTCATTAGTTTTTGTTTCTCAAAAGGTAAATGCCTGTTGCACTGCTGAGTAAAGGCCTCTTCTTACATGGAGAAGGAATGAACATTAAATGCTTACTCAAGGCGGTTGGTTATTTCAAATTGTTAGTTAGAATAAATCCGATGTTTTCCTTCACCATAATTATGTCAGTGTGTGTCTAATTAATTAGAAAGTATATATAACTCAGTTACATCGCGCCCCTCCTGCATTGTTAAAACACAATTGTTATTAATTTTCAATTCTTGCACTAGACGCCATATTGGAAGCGTTATGACGTCATTATCGACAAAAATTAAACACAATCCATATTTTGCATAAAATAACGATGTGTCATTTTTTACAAACAGTAATCTAATCACTTATCTGATGCTCAGCATGGCTTTTGTCCGGGACGTGGAACCACAGGAAACTTACTTCATCTTATGTCAACATTAGTACCATCGGTGGATGCAGGTTTACAAGTGGACTTCAGGAAGGCGCTCGACACAGTCGATAATGATGTCTTGCTCTCGAGGTTAGCTGGCAGGGGTTGCACGCCACATACGTTGAGGTTCTTTGCCAGTTACTTACGGGACAGGCGTCAGTTTGTCGGCTGTGGAGGATGCCTTTCTGAGCCATATTATACGAGATCAGGCGTTAGTCAGGGCAGCAACTTGGGTCCCTTTCTTTTCATATTAACTCGTCGAGTACCGGTTTTATAGACACAATTAAAGAACAATAGGTCGCGGTCACCGGTGACCGCTTGGTGTTTGACAGTTTAATGATTGATGATTTACCAGCAGTGGTTCAGGAATCATCTTGTTTGCTTTTTGCCGATAACCTAAAATTATTCCGTGTGATGAGAGGAGATGAGCTCCAGGAAGATTTGGACCGAGTTGTTAAATGGAGCCATGATAACTGACTTTATTTCAATGTCTCCAAATGTTCAGTGGTGTCTTTCACTCGTGCGCGCAGTCCACACCACCACTGTTATAAGTTAGAGGGTGAAACTTTGGAGAGAGTGATGAAAGTGAGAGACCTTGGTGTCTATTTTGCGGCCGATTTAAAATTCAGAGGTCATATTATTGAAGTATTTAGAAATTTGGGATTCATCTTGAGACAAGCTAATGACTTTAATAATGTGGGGGCTCTCGAGGCTTTGTATGACGCCTTGGTTAGATCTCACCTCGAGTACTGTGCAGTGATATGGGGACCAAGTGAAGCCAAATACAAATTCATGGTTGAGAGGATACAAAATAAATTCACCCGATTTTTGTATTTAAAAATATATAAGGTATACCCCGGCTATCCTCTATTATACCCAACATTATTTGTGTTGGGTATGGTGGGTGAAGTATCCCACTTGAGACTAGGCGGGATGTGGCACTGGCTGTTTATTCATTTAAAGTATTGCGAGGTACATTATATAACTCTAAAATCCTTATGGAGCGAGCACCTGATGGATGTACCATAGCAACGACGTGTGCTTAGTATAATGTTAGCAATTAAGTAGTTGTATTA